TTGAGTTTGACTTTTCTGAACTGAAGGATTCACCCCTGTCTGTCCCTGTCTGCTCCTGTCTGCTCCTGTCTGCTCCTGTCTGTCCCTGTCTGCTCCTGTCTGCTGTCTGTCTGTCCCTGTCTGCCCCTGTCTGCTCCTGTCTGTCCCTGTCTGCCCCTGTCTGCTCCTGTCTGTCCTGTCTGCTCCTGTCTGTCCCTGTCTGCCCTGTCTGCCCCTGTCTGTCCCTGTCTGCTCCTGTCTGTCCCTGTCTGCTCCTGTCTGCCCTGTCTGTCCCTGTCTGCTCCTGTCTGTCCCTGTCTGCTCCTGTCTGCCCCTGTCTGTCCCTGTCTGCTCCTGTCTGTCCCTGTCTGCTCCTGTCTGTCCCTGTCTGCTCCTGTCTGTCCCTGTCTGCTCCTGTCTGCCCCTGTCTGCTCCTGTCTGCTCCTGTCTGCTCCTGTCTGCCCCTGTCTGCCCCTGTCTGCTCCTGTCTGCTCCTGTCTGCTCCTGTCTGTCCCTGTCTGCTCCTGTCTGTCCCTGTCTGCTCCTGTCTGCCCTGTCTGTCCCTGTCTGCTCCTGTCTGTCCCTGTCTGCTCCTGTCTGCCCCTGTCTGCCCCTGTCTGCTCCCTGTCTGTCCCTGTCTGCTCCTGTCTGCTCCTGTCTGTCCCTGTCTGTCCCTGTCTGCTCCTGTCTGCTCCTGTCTGTCCCTGTCTGCCCCTGTCTGCTCCTGTCTGCTCCTGTCTGCTCCTGTCAGTGCAGGTGGTGCAGGAGGACAGCATCATGTCTGGGTACCGGGATCCGTGCAGTTCGGCTCTGGACTGTGTCCTGAGCAGCTTCCAGATCCACAACGAGACCATCAACATCTGGACCCACTTCCTGCCCACGTGGTCAGTGCCCACGCGCCTTATAAGGGCGTCTGCTTCCTTATAAGGGCGGTGCTTCCTTATAAGGGCGTCTGCTTCCTTATAAGGGCGGCACTTCCTTATAAGGGCGACACTTCCTTATAAGGACGTCTGCTTCCTTATAAGGGCGACGCTTCCTTATAAGGGCGTCTGCTTCCTTATAAGGGCGGCGCTTCCTTATAAGGGCGGCGCTTCCTTATAAGGGCGTCTGCTTCCTTATAAGGGCGGCGCTTCCTTATAATGGCGGCGCTTCCTTATAAGGGCGACGCTTCCTTATAAGGACGTTTACTTCCTTATGAGGGTGGCACTTCCTTATGAGGACATTTGCTTCCTTATAAGTGCGGCTGAAGTAGTTTTGTTTCATTATTATTTGATTCTATACTCCTTGTCCAGTGCCTAATGCTCTGTGCCCGTCTGTGCCCGTCTGTGTACCCGTCTGTGTGCAGGTACTTCGTGTGGCGTCTGGCGGCGCTCTGCTCGTGCCTGGACTTCGGCGCTGACCCGTACAGTTGGCCGCTGCTCGTCTACATGCTGCTGATCTGCGTGTACCCGTTCACCTCCAGCTGTGCCCACACCTTCAGCGCCATGTCCACCCACACCTACCACATCTGCTTCTTCTTCGACTACGGCGCGCTCAGCCTCTACAGCCTGGGTACGGCGGGCACATGGGCAGGCGGGCACGTGGGTCAGGGGCGGGCACACGGGTCTGGGGTGGGCAAGGCAGGTCTGGGGTGGGCACACGGGTCTGGGGGGCGGGCACGGCGAGTCTGGGGCGGGCAAGGTGGCAGGTGTAAACTCTGACCCTGGCGCTGCCCTCTGCTGTTCACAGGTTGTGCCATCAGCTACGGGCACTACGTGATGCCCGAGTGTTGGGTGAACACCCGACTCCAGCGCTGGTTTGTGCCCGTGGCTCTGATCAACTCCCTGTTCTGCACCAGCCTGTCCTGCTACTCCCGGTCAGACCCGCAGAGCACCCGCACCCGCAGAGCACCCGCACACGCAGAGCACCCGCAGAGCACCCGCACACGCAGAGCACCCGCAGAGCACCCGTTTACCCACAGAGCACCCGCACCCGCAGAGCACCCGCAGAGCACCCGCACCCGCAGAGCACCCACACACCTGCAGAACACCTGCAGAGCACCCGTTTACCCACAGAGCACATGCAGAGCACCCGCACACCCGACCTCATGACGTCCCCGTTGCCGTGGCGACAGCAGAGTGACGTGTGTCTGTGTGTTCAGGTTTGTGGAGCTGCGTTCTCCTCAGAGGAGTAAAGTTCTGCGCACGGCCGCCTTCGTCGTCCCCTTCATCTTCGACACGCTGCCTCTGGTCCACAGGGTGAGGAACTGTGAGAGAAGAGCTGGAGGGGTGGGCTGGGGTCACATCACCGCAGACCACAAGGTCAGAAGGTCAGAGGTGAAGGTCAGAGGAGAATAGGTCAGAGATCAGATCCTGATATTGTCTCCTGTCTGTGGTCAGTTGTGTCTGTGCTGATGTTCTCCTCTCTTCTCTGTCTGTTGTCAGTTGTGTCTGTGCTGATGTTCTCCTCTCTTCTCTGTCTGTTGTCAGTTGTGTCTGTGCTGATGTTCTCCTCTCTTCTCTGTCTGTTGTCAGTTGTGTCTGTGCTGCGGCGGCGGTTGTTCTCACTCTCAGGCTCTGTCCAGTCACTCGTATCACCTGCTCTTCGCTCTTCTCACCTGTTTCCTGTTCACGTCGCACCTGCCGGAGCGACTGGCCCCCGGACGCTTCGACTACATCGGTACGAGCTCCACGCCGCCCGCCTCAGGCCACGCCCACCTCTGCACACTCTGCACGATACTGACACGACACTGACACGACACTGACACGACACTGAAGCTCTGCCTGATACTGACACGACACTGACACTGACACGACACTGACGCGACACTGAAGGTCTGCATGACACTGACACGACATGACACTGACATGACACTGACACGACACTGAAGCTCTGCGTGACACTGACACGACACGACACTGACACTGACACGACACTGACACGACACTGACGCTCTGCACGACAGTAACGCGACACTGACACGACATGACACTGACACGACACTGACGCTCTGCACGACACTAACGCGACACTGACACGACACTGACACTGACACGACACTGACACGACACTGAAGCTCTGCATGACACTGACACGACACTGACACGCTCTGCACGACACTAACGCGACACTGACACAACACACTGACACTGACACGACACTGACACGACACTGACATGACACTGACGCTCTGCACGACACTAACGCGACACTGACACGACATGACACTGACACTGACACGACACTGACACGACACTGACACGACACTGACACGACACTGACACGACACTGACATGACACTGACACTTACACAACATTGACATGCTGCATGTTACTGACACGACAGTGACGCAACACTGACACGGCACACTGACACGACACTGACATGACACTGACATGACACTGACACTGACACGACACTGACACGACACTGACACGACACTGACACGACACTGACACAACATTGACACAACATTGACATGCTGCATGTTACAGACACTGACGCTCTGCACGACACTAACGCGACACTGTCACGACACTGACACGACACTGACACGACACTGAAGCTCTGCGTGACACTGACACGACACTGACGCTCTGCCTGATACTGACATGACACTGACACGACACTGACGCTCTGCACGACACTGACACGACATGACACTGACGCTCTGCACGACACTGACACGACTGACACTGACACACTGACACTGACTGCACGACACTGACACGACACTGACGCTCTGCACGACACTGACACGACACTGACGCTCTGCACGACACTAACGTGACACTGACACTTACACAACATTGACATGCTGCATGTTACTGACACAACACTGACACTGACACGACACTGAAGCTCTGCGTGACACTGACACGACACTGACACGACATTGACACGACACTGACGCTCTGCACGACACTAACGCGACACTGACACTTACACAACATTGACATGCTGCATGTTACTGACACGACAGTGGCGCAACACTGACACGACACACTGACACGACACTGACATGACACTGACACGACACTGACATGACACTGACACGACACTGACACAATATTGACACAACATTGACATGCTGCATGTTACAGACACTGACGCTCTGCACGACACTAACGCGACACTGACACGACATGACACTGACACTGACACTGACACTGACACTGACACGACACTGACACTTACACAACATTGACATGCTGCATGTTACTGACACGACACTGAAGCTCTGCGTGACACTGACACGACACTGACACTGACACGACACTGATGCTCTGCACGACACTAACGCGACACTGACACGACATGACACTGACATGACACGACACTGACACGACACTGACACGACACTGACACGACACTGACTGACACGACACTAACACAAACACTGACACGACACTGACGCTCTGCACGATACTAACGCGACACTGACACGACACTGACACAACATTGACATGCTGCATGTTACAGACACGACACTGACACGACACTGACACTCTTACACTCCAGATTTAACGCTCAAATGATGTGATGCTGTTTCATCATTAAGAGACTGACTCTGTCCCTCTGTGTCCTGCTGTGTCCTGTCCTCTGTGTCCTCTGTCCTCTGTCCCTCTGTGTCCTCTGTCCCCTCTTTGTCCTCCTCTTGTCCCTCTGTCCCTCTGTCCTCTGTCCTCTCTGTCCCCCTTGTCCTCTGTCCCTGTCCCTGTCCCTCTTGTCCCTCTGTCCCTCTGTCCCTCTGTCCCTGTCCTCTGTCCTCTGTCCTCTGTCCCTCTGTCCCTCCGTGTCCCTCTTGTCCCCCTTGTCCCTCTGTCCCTCCGTCTCAGGTCACAGTCATCAGTTGTTCCACGTCAGCGCGGTGGTGGGGACACACTTTCAGATGGAGGGGGTGTTGGCGGACATGTCCTCGCGGCGCACGTGGCTGCTGGACCACGGGGGGGCGCCGTCCTTCGCCGGGACCATCGGCGCGCTGCTCTTGGGCCTGACCCTCAACCTCCTGATCATCGGGTTCTTCAGCGTCCCGTTGCTCTGGAAACGCTCCCGGAAGACGGAGTGAAGGACCCGAACGCCGCCGGGAAACGCCGCCGGGACCGCCTGCACCTGCCCACGCCTGCACCTGCCCACGCCTGCACCTGCCCACGCCTGCACCTGCCCATGCCTGCACCTGCCCACGCCTGCACCTGTCTGAGGACCAGGCTACATGAACGTTCTGGGTCCAAACCTCCGTCCAGTTTGTGTTTCGTGCTCAGACGCTTCTCTGTCCCACTGTCCAGGTTTAAGGTTTACATTTTACTCTCACACAGGGCACAGGGCACAGGGCACAGGGCACAGGGCACAGGGCACAGGGCACAGGGGAGAGAAGAGGACACATGGTAGAAGGCTGTGGGGAGGGCACAGGGTGGAGGGCAGCTGGTACAAGGTAGAGAGCGACAGTTGAGGGCAGTGGGCAGTGGGCACAGGATGGAGGGTACATGGAAGAGGAGAGGGTAGTTGGTAGTAGAGGGGGCACAGGATGGAGGGGAGAGGGTACAGAGATAGGGTGGAGGACGGAGTGGGGAGGGCACAAGGTGGAGGACAAAGGGAAGAAGTGTAGAGGGCACAAGGTAGAGTGTAGAGTGTCGAGGGCACAGGGGAGAGTAGAGGGCACAGGGGGTAGAGGGCACACAGCAGAAGGTAGTGGGGAGGGCACAGGATGGAGGGCAGCTGGTACAAGGTAGAGGGGAGGGCAGAGGGGAGTGGGCAGTAGGGAGTGGGCACAGGTAGGGTACAGGGAAGAGGAGAGGGCAGAAGGGAGAGTGTAGAGGGACAAAGTAGAGGGTAGAGAGGCGGGCACAGATCCGTGTCTTTTGTGACGGGCTCCAAACTCTCTTCTCTCTTTCTCTGCACCTGTCCCTGTGGGCGGGGCTAACACTCACACACCTGTCTGCACCTGTCCCTGTGGGCGGGGCTAACACACACACCTGTCCCTGTGGGCGGGGCTAACACACACACACCTGCCTCAAGTTTCTGCTGAAGGAGAAAAATATCAAGAGTTTACAAAGGATTTTATAAAGGACTCTGGGACAGGAGCAGCGACAGGAGCAGCGGCAGGAGCAGCGGCAGGAGCAGCGACAGGGGCAGCGGCAGGAGCAGGGGCAGGTGGCGGTCTCATGTTCTCTGGACCTCGGTGTGTGTGTTTTTTAAAGGAGCAGAACCGGTGACCAGGAGGGGGCGCTGCTCTTGAGAAGGTTCAGACTCCAGGACAAAACGAGACAAACTGCAGCTCCACTGTGTTTTTACAACCACCCGACCTCATGAACATGACGCGCGACGACAAACACGACGCGCCGACGCCTTTATACTGTCTGTACTCACCTGTCGCCGTGCCCCTGTCTGCTCCCTGTCTGCCCCTGTCTGCCCCTGTCTGCCCCTGTCTGCCCCTGTCTACTATTTTCTCCTGTACGCTTGTTTTTCGGTCTTTTCCTCCTGTTTTCTTCTGCCTGTTTTTGACTTTTACTTTTCTCCTGTCTACTCCTGCCTGCTCCTGACTTCACCTGCCTGCTCCTGTCTGCTCCTGTCACCTGTCTGCTCCTGCTTCTTCTCGTACGTGCTCCTGCCTGCTCCCGTCTGTTACTATTTTCTATTTTCTGTCTATTCCAGTTTTTCTCTGTCTTTTCTTGTCTCCTCTTGTTTCTTTCTGTTTGCTCCTGTCTGCTCCTGCCTTCACCTGTCTGCTCCTGCCTTCACCTGTCTGCTCCTGCCTTCACCTTTACTATTTTCTCCTGTCTTTCTGTCTTTCTCTGCCTTTTTCTGTCTGTTTTTGATTTTTACTATTTTCACCTGCCTTCACCTGCCTTCACCTGCCTGCTCCTGCCTTCACCTGCCTGCCCCTGCCTGCCCCTGCCTGCCCCCACCTGCCTGCTCTCTGCCCTGCTGCCCTGCCCGCCCCTGCCCGCTCCTGTCTGTGTCGTGTCGTTCTTTTTGACCAAACGTTTACATCGAGCTCTTGTATTTATTCCGTGGGTGAGTTTTACAGAGCTGCACTTCCGCGTGTTTCCTGCGGGCGGCGCCGTCGCTCCGTCTGTGACCTGCAAAAATAATCCACCATAATAATATTTGTATTTGTTATTTTTATTTGGATCATGTTTTCCTTTTATCAGATTATTTTAAACAAAGTGACTGTGAAAATATTTACCCAAAACAAAAAACTAAAAACAAATTAAAACAAACTAAAAATGCAAAGTGTCATTTTACCACCTCCTTGTTTCCATGGAGACGTCTTTGCTTCACCTGGAATGTTCCGTACTGTAGTATTAAAGTGTATGTGTGGCACAGCAGGTTTTATCGCTCAAAAGAAAAAAATAAATAAATAAAAAACATGTAAAAAAGCGTTCTTACAGTGAGCAGAGACGCCTCTCCACAGATCTGACCCGTCACAGCAAAAACTGGAGGGTTAAAATTTCAGGATAAAATATTTCAGAGTTGTTTTTAACACAAAAAGTGTTATTTTAACTCTTTGAGAGTTAAATGTGTGTTGGAGTTGAGGTGATTTGTCAGAGTTGATTTGGTTGAGGTTAATTCAACTTCTCTTAGTGTTAATTTAACTTCAACCAAAAACTCCCTCCAGAGAAGAACCAGTTTGAACCAGTTTTCTTCATAATTTCATCTTAAATTAACTCAAATAAAACCCCTCTGTGTGTTGTTGAGTTAAATCAGATTAACTCTACAAAGTGTTATCTGTTTACTCTCTAAACCTTCATTTAACTCTGGATTTGGGTTAAACTTTGGTCCAGTTTTACTTCATGAACATTTAAAAATGTTAAATTAACTCTAGAACAGAGTGACTCAGAGAAACTCTGAGGAAATGTCACTTTTTGTTGTGATAAGTTTAACGTCTTTCTGTGGAACATTCCAGACCAAATCATTAACGTCACCATGGAGACAGGCAGGTGCGCACCTGTCACCAGAAAAGTGAGGATGTGCCTCTTTAACGTCACAGTGACGACGTAATGAAAGTTTGAATGTTTGTATTTTTATGTTCTAATGTTTCTCATCACAAACATGAAGAGAAGAGATAATAGACTCATACATGCATGTCTGAGTCATCTAGAGATCTCTCCCAGGTCCTATTCAAACCCTCTTTATAGACCTGCCCTGGTTTAGACCTGGTTTAGTCCTGGTTTAGACCTGGTTTAGTTTTAGACCTGGTTTAGTCCTGGTTTAGACCTGGTTTAGACCTGGTTTAGACCTGGTTTAGACCTGGTTTAGACCTGGTTTAGTTTTAGGGTTTAGACCTGGTTTAGACCTGGTTTAGACCTGGTTTAGTCCTGGTTTAGTCTGGTTTAGACTGGTTTAGTCCTGGTTTAGTCCTGGTTTAGACTGGTTTAGTTCCTGGTTTAGTTGGTTAGTTCCTGGTTTAGACCTGGTTTAGTTCTGGTTTAGACCTGGTTTAGTTTCTGGTTTCTGGTTTAGTTCTGGTTTAGACCTGGTTTAGTGGTTTAGACCTGGTTTCTGGTTTAGACCTGGTTTAGTCTGGTTTAGTGGTTTAGTCTGGTTTAGACCTGGTTTAGTTTAGACCTGGTTTAGTTCTGGTTTAGTCTGGTTCTGGTTTAGACCTGGTTTAGTTCCTGGTTTAGTTCCTGGTTTAGTTCTGGTTTAGACCTGGTTTAGTTCGGGTTTAGACCTGGTTTAGTCCTGGTTTAGACCTGGTTTAGTTCTGGTTTAGACCTGGTTTATCTCTTCATCACAAACTTGTCTGAAGAGGTGTGAGACTCATTTATGCATGTTTGAATAATCTAGTGATCTCTCCTGGATCCTCCATTTGGTTATCAGTACGAGTCTGTACGAGGCTCCGCCCCCCTGGCTCCCACACCACAATTCTCCATGAAAACACAAAAACATGAAACTAAACTGGACAAACCTGCTGTGAGGTGCACGAGCTTCATGAGTGTTTGGATGGTGCTCTGAAGGGGGAGGGACTCGGCACCGAGAGCAAACCATGTTAATCTGTTGTTTTTGGGAGAATTTAACTCTTACCTCGTCTTTAACACTTTTATATTTGCAGTAAAATCAGATTTGCTCCTGTCGGTCCTGCCTCTGATGAAGTGCCAGGTGGCGCTGTCGCTGTCCGCGGTGCTGAAGAAGCTTTAAAGATTCACCGTGTCACTTTTCTGGGGGAGCGTCCGTCACCTGCTCTTTGTCCAGAACCTTCCACAGTCGAGATGAAACCAGTTTATCACAAAGGAGACGACGTCACAGGTCAGATCTGTGGAGCGGCGCGTTCCTCTCACACAGACAGAAACGTCTGTAATGATCTTTTTAAAGTCAGAACACGGAACATTCAGGAGACGAGCAGGTGATGAGCCTCCACCAGAAAAGCACAGTGTGTTTTTTTTTACTCTGAACAGTGTGAACTTCTCCAGGTTCTTGAGGTTCTCCAGGTTCTTGAGGTTCTCCAGGTGGTTCTCCAGGTTCTCCAGGTGGTGGTTTTCCAGGTGGTTCTCCAGGTGGTTCTCCAGGTGGTTCTGTAGGTGCTCAGGTTTGGACAGTGAATGTGCAGCAGAGGAGCAGCAGACGAGCTTCAGCTTCACGAGTTTGTGTGAAGTTTTAGAAAAAGATTTGGGATTTTCAAACAGAGGAACAAAATCACTCAGGTCAGACTCGGGTCTGGTTTGGATCTGGGTCTGGTCCATGTTTGGCCGTGTGAATCAGAAGGACACAGAGTGTGACTTGGTTCTGGCTCAGGTCTGGGTTTGGGTCTGGGTCTAGATTAAGTCTGGCTCTGGTTCTGCCTCAGGTCCAGGTCAGGTCTGACTCAGGTCTGGTCTAGCTTCAGCCTGGCTCAGGTCTGACTCGGGTCTGACTCGGGTCCAGCTCAGGTCTGGTCTGACTCAGGTCTGGGTCTGGATCTGGATCAGGTCCGGTTCTGGTTCTTGTTCGTTTTCGGTTCAGAATCTGAATGTAAAGTTTTTTTATGGTTTGTTTTTAACACTTTTATACGTTTTGTTCTGGGTTGTTTCTGTCGCAGCTTCAGAACGTTTTATAAACATGATTTTTTATTCGCTGTAAAATAAAATAAACCTGAAAGTCACGTTTGGTTTCTCGTGTTTCTGTGAAGATCCTGCAGCCGTAAAAATCATTTAATTCTGAATAAACCTGAAGTTCATCTAAACACTTCATGAAAATGAAAATGATTCAGATTTAATCTGAAACAGTGAAGTGTTTGTTTTGTTCTGATGTTAAATGTGACTGAGTTTGTTTCCTGGATCCTGTTTGTGGTTTGTTGTTGTTCAAATGCTGCTGGTGCTTCAGGCTCGTCGTGTCGTCCTCCTGGTCCTGGTCCTGGTCCTGGTCCTGGTCCTGGTCCAGTCGTGTCTCAGGACTTTGATCCACGTCTCTTTGGATTTGTGAGCTGGATGCAGGAGTGGGTTGAGCTTTTGTCTTCTTCCTCCTCCTCCTCCTCAGCGACAGACGGAAAGTCGGACGTTAAACTGTGTGATT